TGTTATAAAGTATCTGGTTACAGGTATTTACAGTACCGGGATGGTGTGATATAGTATCTGGTTACAGGTACTATATAACACCATCCAGGTGCTGTAAGTACCTGTGACCAGATACCATATAACACCATCCCGGTGCTGAAAGTACCTGTAACCAGACACTATATAACACCATCCCGGGACTGTAAGTACCTGTAACCATATACTATATAACACCATACCGGAACTGTAAGTACTTGTAACCAGATAATATATAACACCATACCGGAACTGTAAGTACTTGTAACCAGATAATATATAACACCATACCGGAACTGTAAGTACTTGTAACCAGATAATATATAACACCATACCGGTACTGTGAGTACCCTTAACCAGATACTATATAGTATCTGGTTAAGGGTACTTCCAGTACCAGGATGGTGTTATATTATAAGTATCTGGTCGCAGGTTCTAACAGTACCTGTAGGGTGTTATACAGTATCTGGTTACAGGTATTTACAGTACCGGGATGGTGCTATATAGTATCTTGTTACAGGTACTTACAGTAACGGCATGGTGTTATATAGTATATGGTCACAGGTCAGCAGACGACAACAATGGTGAATAAACAAGCTGATCATCTTAATTGTTGTGTTTTGTTCTGTTATGGTGCAAAATAAAATAGTTATTGCCCTTGTTATAGCTATTCCGTCTTTTCGTATTGCAGAGTTATCAGCTCTTGTGAGCAGGTATTGATTGTTACATCATTTGTTTGTGAGAGTAATGTCATAATTATTTGAGAAAACGACGTCATTTTCTCACACAAACTAATGCCGTAACAATCAATTCCTGCTCACAAGAGCTGATAACTCTGCAATACGAAAAGACGGAATAGCTATAACAAGGGCAATAACTATTTTATTTTGCACCATAACAGAACAAAACACAACAATTAAGATGATCAGCTTGTTTATTCACCATTGTTGTCGTCTGCTGACCTGTGACCATATACTACATAACACCATCCCGGTACCGTAAGTACCTGTAACCAGATATTATATAACACCATCCCGGGGCTGTAAGTACCTGTAACCAGATACTATATAACACCATACCGGTACTGTTAGAACCTGTGACCAGATACTTATAATATAACACCATCCTGGTACTGTAAGTACCCTTAACCAGATACTATATATAATGTCAGTGAGTTAACAGTTATAATATTGTCAGTAAGAGAGTATTTCAGGAAGTGTAAAAATCATAGATGAACATTTTTGCTACAATTTATTTCATTAATTTTACAGTAAGCAATTTATCTTTTGATAATATCTTTTTGTACATTGATAAATAAATAAATTATATAAGATTCAATTACTTTTATGTGATAAGTTCACAATGGCCTTGTCAACATCTCAACACCTTTGAACGGTACATATCAATATCAGGATAAAAGTACATCAAGTTAAAAAATATTAACAGGCATTATTTTGTAAACCTCTTTTTTTCGTTTGATTATAGAGTGAGTCATGACAGCAAAATGCTTTCGGATTAAGTGTGAATTTTTGATGCATGTATGTTCATACTTCAAAGATTTGTTTAAGGTGCATACAGCCATACAAAGCTTTATGCTCATGCCAGCTAGCACTTGTTGGACAACTTTGCCCTATATTGTCATAATGTACAGAATTGTTGTTTGCTGTTTATCGCAGCTGCCAGTGTTTTTTCTGTCTCTTTGTATTTTATGTAAACAAACTGATTTTGATATATATTTAAAGCTAAATTTCATATTTGTATAAAAAGATATTGCTACAATTTTCCAACAATAATATGCACATGCATATGTATATATCTTAATAGAACTAGGAAATAAATAAAACAAATTGACTTAAACAAATTAAAGACTACAGGGAAAGATGATTATTTGTTTACCTGATATCAGTCATGTTTTATTATGGCAAATTATAAGGGGAAACACAACATTTTGTTTCCATATTCCGTCTTTTCATATTGAAGAGTTATCAGCTCTTGTGAGCAGGTATTGATTGTTACGTCATTAGTTTGTGTGAGAAAATGACGTCGTTTTCTCAAATAATTATGACATTACTCTCACAAACAAATGATGTAACAATCAATACCTGTTCACAAGAGCTGATAACTCTGCAATACGAAAAGACGGAATAGCTATAACAAGGGCAATAACTATTTTATTTTGCACCATAACAGAACAAAACACAACAATTAAGATGATCAGCTTGTTTATTCACCATTGTTGTCGTCTGCTGCAGTCGCTAGGAGATGGGGAAACTCAAGCAATTTCTGAGGGAAGCTCAATCTTTTATTTCCCAGACATGTGATTAACATGATCCAATGAGTTATGTTGTTATACATATGTAAATGATGTACACTATTAATGATGACAGTTAAAATTGTAAATGTATTATTATATGTATACTGTCATGTGTTGTCTCTTCAAACCTGTGTATATTGAAGAAAATCATATCATTGAAAATAATTACTATAAGCCGTCTCTCTGACTGCCTGTTACAAGTATTAAGAGTGCTATTGAAACAGTCGATATTTTCTGAGAGCTAATTTCCTGACTCCGCACATATTGTAGCTTAGTGAGTTGTTTTTAGCTGATAAATTTGGCAGTTTGTTTCAATGCTATGATCTTCATTATACACTAAAAACTAAAACGGACACAATATGTAATAGTATACACATATAATACATTTCAATTCTAACTCTCATCACTATACTTCATCTGCATGTACATGTATATTAAAAAACATAATTTATTGGATCATATCAATTAGTTTCAAGTTGTGATACCAGCCATTTGTGCTCCTTGCTTGATACTTATAAAGGAAACATGTTTTCGAAAATTCAGAAATGAACTAAGCACAAGTTATTTACTAGTAATATAAACTGTATATATATATATATATGTCATTGACATTAAACCTCTAATTCATATATATTGGTCAGGACTGTTTGTGAAATATACAAAATTTGATGAAAATGAATCCTCCATAAGAACAGTAGAGGAAATTGTTTTGAAGTATTTGCCACTCAACTGTGAAAACATGTTTTCACAAAGTTATGTACATAACAATATAGCATGTATACACACATTAATGTCTGGTCTGACAGCAGCAGCAGATGTTTTGGAAAGTTCAACATCTCTGGATTATTTTTCTTTATAAATTTGCTGTGTTACAAACTTTGGCACATCATCATGTGCACTATTGTAATTGTGTACGGAGGGTAAAGTGCCTGCTACCATACTGTTTATAATGAGATGTAACAGATTTCAACAAAGTATAGTCAACTTATAAACTAAATTGTATAAGGCCCTACAGCTGTGAAATCAAGCTAACAAGTGAGAATACCAGTTGGCTTGTAAACAGACTTAGGAAGTAACAAATGGTATATAGACATGATCAAGGGTAAGGATATACCGAAGTTCGAGGTAACCAACAACAAACTTGTCCATTATATATATATGGCATAATATAAAGGCAGGCAGCTTTGCCAGTCAGAGAAGCGGATACTGATCATGATGATCCGTAATGTTTAAAAAGTGGACGTATGTCCTTGAATGGACACCATATTACTAAATAGGAGATACAATTTTCTAAATTATGTGTATACAGTGGTATAGTAAACAATTCTGATGGAATATACAGTGTGGTTGCCGTGATACATAGTGCATATATTATATTCTAAAAGTAATTATACACAGCCGAGTTAAGTTTTTGACAAATTGGACAAACGCTGTGAATTAGTGATTGTTATTCAATGGAATTTGTGTTTCCAGCAAGGATTTTATCTTATTTTTAATTAGTCTATGTCAATAAAATTTGGGATTTAATTAGAAGTGAAATTTGTATCAACTGACATAAACATGAATATTTGTGAAAAGAAATAATTACTATACCTATATATACAATGTATTAATGCAGTTAAAATTCCTTCCTGATAAATATCTAAGCTGAGGTTTAGTCTAGCTTATTACAAAAGATGTTTAAGAGTTTAAATACTGTATAATGTGAAATCGCATACTCAAATTAATTTTTCAAACATGCCATACAGATATGACCAGAAGTTTCGGTGAGTTTGTATGTGTGTGTGTTTTTTTTAACCTGGCCATATATGACCAATTGCCAGCTTGATTGACACCATCAGCTGTAATTTAGTGAGTGTACTGACATATAGTTTAAAACCTATAATGATGGAGGATGCTGATCCTACGTACATGCACCGACGGTATCGCCTGCACAACATCTCACTGATGCGGAAATTCAGGACACAAAGTAAATGGCCAAGACAACGAGTGTTTTTATTGGTGATGAGCATGTTGATGATGATGTAGATTGTGGTGTAGATTTTGTATAAATGTCAATGATAATAGCAGTAAAGCATTTTCTATCATTTGTTACCTACTCTGTAAATGTCTGTTGAATGTCTAGCTGTATGTATCACGATACAAAAAATTAGGGTTTATATTGTACATCGTATATTTGCCATGTTTCAGTGTAAGTATATATATGCCATTTTGTTGTGTATATAGCACTTTGTATATAAATGCCTAGTTTTAGTGTAAGTATAACACTTTGTATATAATTGCCTAGTTTTTGTGTAAGTATAACACTTTGTATATAATTGCCATGTTTTTGTGTAAATATAACACTGTACATGTTTGCCATGTTTTTGTGTAAATATAACACTTTGTATATATATAATTGCCTAGTTTTAGTGTAAATATAACATTTTGTATATATATATTTGCCTAGTTTTAGTGTAAATATAACACTGTATATGTTTAATTGCCATGATTCTTTGTAAATACAACACGTTGTATATATTTGCCCTGTTTCTGTGTAAATATAACACTTTGTATATATTTGCCTTAAAGTTTTAATGTAAATATCATACTTTGTACATTTTTGTTTTATATATATTTGCATGGTACTGTTGGTGTATATAACTCTTTGTATATATTTGCCGTGTTTCAGTGTGTAAGCAGTGGCTTGTACATGAAGATGGAGCCTTGGCTTATGAGATACAAAACAAAGAGAGTAAGTACAGAATATATCCTACCAGTAAATGGCATGTTTTCAAGGAATGCGGGTTGTTTCGCTTTGAATTACATTAGCAATACAGATAATTTAGATTCACCCTAAATCCAGCAAGAAAATTTAAAAACCGCTGTTCAATCCCTATGTATTTTGAAGTTATGAATATCAGTGTTTTTAATGATTGAAAACTTAATGTTTCATGAACAATCATGTTGTTGGAAAAACTTTAGGTGTATGTTGTGTTGAGTTCTGGTCCACCATGTATGAGCTTATCGACAAAAAATACAAGTTAGACTATAAGGAAAATGTCGAATGAAACTGCATTATATAAGCCATACACTACTAACAGGCCAAAACCACGACCTGACACCGTTTTCAAGTTTAGTTTAGACCACACTTACACCAAGTATTTATAAGGCTGATTCTGCTGAAACTTTCTTTTAGTAATCGTAAAGGAGTAGATGGGATATTAGTTAATCTGCTCGCAAATCAAAGAACAAAGCAGAATCCATTCAATCCATTGATGGTTTAACAGCTTTAGATATATACGGTAATTGAAAGCATTCAAACAAATATATAGTATTGTGTTATATGCCAGTTTAAACTGATGAATGTGTCAATATGAATAATTTTCATAAATGGGTTTTCACCTTTATTCAAGTGCATAACCATAACTTTGACCTATCTTTGGGGTCACATGCCAGTAGCTTGAATGACTGGAGTGAAGAGCTATCAAATGTGTTCAAGTAAATGAAATTGACTCACACTTTTAGTTATAAGTATGGCTTATCAATGTGTCAAAATTAATCGCTTTAAAGGAAACAGATATTTAGCCATTAGCTTGCTGAGGTGACTTAACATTAAATTGATTACCTTATTGATATGAATTCACAGTTGAACGACACTATGGCATCAACCGGTTCAACCGGAGGACGGTTCGTGACGACATCCCTGTGGCTAAGGTCCTGCAGACTGACGAGGAGGTTCGGCAGCAGGAGGAGCGCTACAGTGAGCTACAGGCTCTCAGAGTACAGTATGTAGTCCAAATAACAGTATCATAACAATGGATATCTCCAGAGGCTCCTGATATTCTAAGACATCCCTTATCTAGTAGATTAAATGGATGAAGGTAATGTCAGGAGACAGCCCATGTATATAGGAGGTTAAATTAAAACAACAGACTTAATCCATTTCTGTGAAACACATTCTTTATAAAGATAGAGTTTAGACTCGGGGCTATATGGAAAATAGACGTACAAATGTATCATGTATTTTGATACTTGTTTTTTTGGCATGTTCCACTGTTACCAGGTATATAGGTACACCATTTTTCTTTTGTGTTTAAAATGAAACTTAAATTTATTATCCTACTTTTTCTTTTGTTAGATACCTTATTTTGAATTATCATATCTACAAGCAAATATTATTACTTCTTAATCATTGTTCTGGGTTTGTTTCCTATCCAGGGCTGATGAGGACCAAGAAATTGCCCGTCGTGTGATGGAGGAGATTGAAGGGGAGGAGACTGCTAGACAGAGGCAGAGAGAGCTACATGACGAGGTATTTGTACAAACCAGGGTTAAGGTTACATTGGTGAAGGTCAACAGGGTCAGGATTACAAGGTTCAAGGTCACAAAGACAGAGGTTACAAAGGTCAAGGACAAATGAATGTTTATTTGTTAGTCCAAAATTCTTGAGGTTTTTGTCCCCATTTACCTGAAAAGCCAAGGCCATGACAAGGAGATGAGGGTCAGTATGCTTTAGTAAGCCATAGCTCGCTTTTTTATACTTCTTAACCTACTCTTACGTACCCTTTCAACCTATGGAACTTTAGTAGACTCTACCATGCATTGATCTGAATCCGGATGAGTCCGTTACGGTCTACCGTGGTGAAAGGGCTAAAAATAAGCTGTCTATTGAGATAAAGCAAGAGTGAATATCTTTTTAGCGAGATTTTAGTTCAACAGTTACCTGGTACTTTTTACAGGAAATTGCCCGAATTGCACAAGAGAAGGAAAAGCAGAAATATGAACGGTACTTGGAGAAGAAGAGGGGGAAAGACTTGAAGAAAGAACGGCACATTTTGGAGAAACAACTGGAACAGCATATGGTGGAGGCCAGGCTAGCGTCAGGGGAAGAAGGTAGGCCATGTGTCTTGGAAATAAAACATGGATGGACCATGTGGTCTGGAAGGAAAGTTATGGTGTATAAATAAGGCACTTCAGTCTTATCTAAAAGCACAAATGGGAGACTAGATAAACATTCACTGAGATAATAGTTTTGAAAAAATGCACATTACATTTTAGGTACTACCAGGATTTGTGTAGATGTCTGGTCTAACCCTATGTAGTCATACATACATTTTGCATTTCAATGGAGATATGGATACAATCATGCCTCCAGGATTTGCCCAGAGTCTGGTCCTGCCCCTTCAGACTTATTCTTTAGGTCATAACATGGAAACAGTTGAAATCTGCACCCTATAACATGTACCATGAAAGACAGTTACTAGGTATGAAAATACGAATATTGCAATCATGCTACTAAATTTGACCACACCCCTGGGGACTTAGTCCTTGTTACAATTCTACTAGGTTTGGCTGCACCCCTGGGGACTTATTTCTTGTTACAGTGTTACTAAATTTGACCACACCCCTGGGGACTTAGTCCTTGTTACAGTGTTAGCTACTAGGTTTGCCCGCAACCCTGGGGACTGAGTTCTCGGTGCAGTGCTAGCTACTAGGTTTGGCCACACCCCTAGGGACTGAGTTCTCGGTGCAGTGCTAGCTACTAGGTTTGGTCGCACCACTAGGGTATTAGTCCACGTTATAGTGTAAGCTACAAGGTTTGGCCGCACCACTAGCGATTTAGTCCTCCTTACAGTGCTAGTTACTAGGTTTGGCCGCACTACTAGAGATTTAGTCCTCGTTACAGTGTTAGCTACTAGGTTTGGCCGCACCACTAGAGATTTAGTCCTTGTTACAGTGTTAGCTACTAGGTTTGCCCGCAACCCTGGGGACTTAGTCCTCGTTACAGTGTTAGCTACTAGGTTTGGCCACACCCCTAGGGACTGAGTTCTCGGTGCAGTGCTAGCTACTAGGTTTGGTCGCACCACTAGGGTATTAGTCAACGTTACAGTGTAAGCTACAAGGTTTGGTCGCACCACTAGGGTATTAGTCCTCGTTACAGTGTAAGCTACAAGGTTTGGTCGCACCACTAGGGTATTAGTCAACGTTACAGTGTAAGCTACAAGGTTTGGCCGCAACACTAGAGATTTAGTCCTCCTTACAGTGCTAGTTACAAGGCTTGGTCGCACCACTAGGGTATTAGTCCCCGTTACAGTGTAAGCTACAAGGTTTGGTCGCACCACTAGGGAATTAGTCAACGTTACAGTGTAAGCTACAAGGTTTGGCCGCACAACTAGGGTATTAGTCCTCGTTACAGTGGAAGCTACAAGGTTTGGCCGCACCACTAGAGATTTAGTCCTCCTTACAGTGCTAGTTACAAGGTTTGGTCGCACCACTAGGGTATTAGTCCACGTTACAGTGTAAGCTACAAGGTTTGGCCGCACCACTAGAGATTTAGTCCTTGTTACAGTGCTAGTTACTAGGTTTGGCCGCACCACTAGAGATTTAGTCCACGTTACAGTGTAAGCTACAAGGTTTGGCCGCACCACTAGAGATTTAGTCCTTGTTACAGTGCTAGTTACTAGGTTTGGCCGCACCACTAGAGATTTAGTCCTTGTTACAGTGCTAGTTACTAGGTTTGGCAGCACCACTAGAGATTTAGTCCACGTTACAGTGTAAGCTACAAGGTTTGGCCGCACCTCTAGGGACTGAGTTCTCAGTAAGTGCCAGCTACTAGGTTTGGCCGCCCCACTAGGGATTTAGTCCTCGTTACAGTGTTAGCTACTAGGTTTGGCCACACCACTAGGGATTTAGTCCTCCTTACAGTGCTAGTTACTAGGTTTGGCTGCACCACTAGCGATTTAGTCCTCCTTACAGTGCTAGTTACTAGGTTTGGCCGCACCACGAGAGATTTAGTCCTCGTTACAGTGTTAGCTACTAGGTTTGGCTGCACCACTAGAGATTTAGTCCTCGTTACAGTGCTAGTTACTAGGTTTGGCCGCACCTCTAGGGACTTAGTCCTCGTTACAGTGCTAGTCACTAGGTTTTGTCGCACCACTAGGGACTAAGTCCTCAGTACAGTGCTAGTTACTAGGTTTGGCCGCACCACTAGGGACTAAGTCCTCAGTACAGTGCTAGCTACAAGGTTTGGCTGCACCCCTGGGGACTCAGTCCTTGTTACAATGCTATTAGGTTTGGCCACACCCCTAGGGACTGAGTTCTCGGTGCAGTGCTAGCTACTAGGTTTGGCCGCACCACTAGGGACTAAGACCTCAGTACAGTGCTAGCTACTAGGTTTGGTCGCACCACTAGGGTATTAGTCAACGTTACAGTGTAAGCTACAAGGTTTGGCCGCACCACTAGGGACTAAGTACTCAGTACAGTGCTAGCTACTAGGTTTGGCCGCACCACTAGGGACTAAGTCCTCAGTACAGTGCTAGCTACAAGGGTTGGCTGCACCCCTGGGGACTCAGGCCTTGTTACAATGCTATTAGGTTTGGCCACACCCCTGGGGACCTAAACCTTGTTGCATAAGTTCATGTTCTCATCTAGCTACTTAACTTATATTTCTTGCTCTCGTTTGATATACATGTTCTCTTTTCAACAAATTTTTAATTTGTAATAAATTTCCAGGTAAGCTAGTAACATGAAATAACTATCGGTTTCCGTTATTAGGCCTTGATGATGCCATGCAGGGTATGCACGTGTCTACAGCCGGCGAACGAGGCTCCTTCTCAGGGCGACAAGTCAACGGGGGCAGAAAGTGTGTACATTTTGTTTCAGCTTTAAAAGATTGATTCTGACTGATCGCAGTGATATTTCACTAATATCATTATGAATATATTCTCAGTTTTTAAAGAGGTTCGAAATTTTCATGAATGCAAAAGCTACTTCAATGATTGTTTTTGATTTATTTTGCAAGAGTTATAAAATCAACCAGTTTATCGTGTATTAACCACACTTGTTAGCTCAGATGGAAGTAATCATGGTGTCTTAATGCAGGTGGCAATCTGAGAACCCGGAAAAATTCCATAATTCTCAATTCTAGCATATACATTTACAAAATAATTATTCAAGATTTTTCCCAATATTTGATAATGACAGTATTACCCTGATAATTGATCATCATGATCAATGCACCGATCCATTCAGCTGGTGTTTTTTTGATACATTTGATCCTGCTTTAACAATAATTCAGGGTCGCTGTACAATTTAAAGTGTCTATTGCAGGTTGACTCCGGGAGGTTTCATTGAAGATGATGGAGACTTTTCCGACTTTTTCGCTGTTCCTGATCACGTAGATGACAGCCAAAAGAAGGTCATACAAGAAATGCAGGATGAGGTTAGTGTCTGATCTGTTTCTCCATTACATGTACATCAGATAGCTTATTTACTGTCTGAACTTTTTCTTTTCACTCTTTCTTTTGATACTGTACATGTGTCTTTCTTTACATGAGAAATATAAGATTTTACAGTGAAAACAAAGTTGATGTTTTTCTACTGTGACAAATAACGCTTTTTTCGTACTTTGACAATTTACTGACCAATCAGAGAGCAAGGTTTAGTATGAAAATAACAAGCCATGGTCATTGTTATTTGTGACTTCACTGATGGCTTGATGTTTCCTTGTCTCAACATTACTTGGTGGAAGATGGATTTTAATATCTGTTCACAGATGCCAATGTCTTTATGACAAAAAAAACAGAAAGAAAAATACAATAACCAAACTGTTCTTGGTTTATTGATGACCTACATTACCTATTACATTTCATTTGGGGTTAAAAAAAAAAAAATCATTTGTGCTATATTCACCTTCCTCAGGAAATATACCAGTAATTACTTTCAAGAAATGAAGAATTTGTTTTAGATGTTGTGTAACTCAGTATAAAATAATATTGTGTACTTGACCGTATCTATAGTGTTTATGCTTAACGTCTGTGTATTTGTGGCCACAGTAATTAGCCTTGATCTTTTTGTTGAAACTGAAAAAAAGTTGAGAGAAAATAGAATGATTTGTTTGTATTTTGTAGGAGCTTGCAAGACTACTACAGGAACAAGAACACAAGGTAAAAGATTATGTATAATGAAACTAAGTTTAACTTCTGAAAAACAAACTAGTCGGAGGGATAGGCCTACACTTACAAACAATCTCATTGAGTAATCAAAATTTATTTTCATGATTACAATTATACCATAAATTGTCTTTTGGCCAGGTGAGCTTATGCCGTACTAGTACTGCGGCGTTGATCGTCCGTCGTCCGTCCGTCAACTTTTTCTTTTGAACGACTTCTTCTGAAGAACTGTAGAAGCTAGGGTCATGATATTTGGCCAGTAGGTACCTGGGATGGAGGGCTATAACGTTACCTAATTAAAATGTCCTTGACATACTTTCAAGGTCACATGGGTCAAATATGTTACAAATTTCAAACAACAATATCCTAAGAACCATTTGAACTAGAGTCATGATACTTGGGTATGTTATGTAGACCAGCATTGCAAATATTTTTTTAAATTTCAGTAATGAGGTCAAAGGTTAACTTTAAATGCTAGTCGGGGGTCAAATGTCAACATGGGTTAAAAGCTTTAACAATCTTCTCAAGTTCCATAAGGCCCAGGGTCATGATATTTGGCCAGTAGGTACCTGGGATGGAGTGCTATAAAGTTTCCTTATTAAAATGACCTTGACCTACTGTCAAGGTCACTGGATTAAATTATGTTAAAAACTTCAAACAACAATATCCTAAAAACTATTTAGACTTGAATCATCATACTTAGGTATATGTTATGTAAACCAGCTGTGTGAATTGTTTTCTTTATTACAGTAATGAGGCAAAGGTCAACTTTAAGTGCAAGTCGGGAGTCAAAGGTCAATGTGGGTTAAAAGCTTTAAATTAAAATTTCAATTTTCAAACAACAACATCTTCAGAACCGTTTAAGGTTTAAGTGATATTAAAATGTCTTATGTTTTAGTTACCAAATTTGGTCTTAGTTACCTATATGTCAGTTTCATGTAACAAAAGAAACAGGTGAGCGATGCAGGGTATCTTGGCCTCTGAAGTTGTTGCATATTTTGCTCAAGATTTAATTTTACAAAAGTACAACACATGAAAGTTCAACATCTCTATCTTCTTGTGTGGTGGGGTGCTGCAGTGGATCAGACAATCGCCTTTGATCAATTTGCTGACCAGGATTCATTTCCTCAATCAGACGGGGAAAATGTACGGGATCTGGTCGAACCACGTGCACATGGGTTTTCTCTGGGAACTCCAATTTCCTCCAACATTAAGACCTTTTTCTCCCATATATTCAGAAATTGTATCTAGAAAAACATCAGTGTTTCTCTTGGGAATACACTATTCCTGTTTTGACAAGTGAAAAAGGTTTATCAAATGAGCTGGGAGTGAGGAAATCTTAAGTGTTGCGTGAAAAAAAGATTACAAGTTACCTTTTAAAACAAGTTGATGATATATTTTCTTGAATGAAATCTATCAAAATCATATCACAATTTTACCACATGTATCATCATCACTATCATGATACTTATCTGGTGATAGATCTTAACTTAGATCTTTATACTATAATATTAATGAAATATAATGTTAACTTGATTATTCTCTTTTTGTGTGAATAAAACTGATCTAGAATACATTTTTACTCTTGTGTTATCAATGATTAAGAAGTTGATAGTAAAACACAAAGACCAGTTTAAAAAGAAGAAAATTCTCAACCAAACCTCAACAAAAACCAGTGTTTCTTCATGTCATTTTTAATATGCCCAAAAGTTTACAAAACTAATACAGTAGCTACACACATCTGTTAAAATCAGTTTAAGTTCAGAAATCAGTGACATCTGTTGGTAATATCTTCATTCACTTTGTAAAGTGTATATTTTCCGAGCGATGACCAAGATTTTCTATTTGAGTTCTTCCTTGTATAATGTGTACTATTGCCAGTTGACATAGTGAGGACATTTGAGGCGAGATCAATGTGCAACATTCGGGGTAATTGGTATGGCTTCATATTGTAGCGAACAAAGGCAGAAGTTGATCGAAGCAAACTTAAGGAAATTGAAGAGCAGGACGAGCGACTTGCCAAAATCATACAGGAACAGGACAAGCTGCGTATGAAGAGAGCAAAACAGCGCAAGAAACAACAGCAACAGGAGGAGCACCGGCGGCAACAGGTACATATTGGTCGGAGTCACAATCTGTGTTGTGTGTCCCAAAATCTTGTACTGTGATCTATGGAAACAGATGCTTTGGTAGGGTTTCGACTATACGCTGTGGAATAGCTTACTATCTACTATTAAAAAGTCAAATACCCTGGCCAAGTTCAAGAGGGACATCAAAACTCACCTCTTCACATCTGCATTTTAGAATCCTTGCAAAGACGTCATGGAAATACCACCCTTTTATTTGTTCAATTATGTGCACATTAAATTGCTTGCTTAAATGTATAAAAGTGATTGTAAGCCTTTTTTTTTGTTTTCACAATTATAACCATTACTATTATCCATATGTTGTAGAGTGCTTTAGAGTAATTTTATAAATTATATAGGGCGCTATATAAATGTTGTATATTATTTTATCATTATTACACAATACAGTTGTGTTAGAGACACGTTATATTGCTAAATAGTTAAGGTCACATCTGAGTCATTTCTTCTTCTAATTTTTGTTTGAAAAATTTAAGAGGAGAAAAGGTTAATTGCTATTAAAAGAAGATCAGTTACTGCAGAAAAGGAAATATTTAATATGTACACTTTTACTTATTACAGCAAATGACAAACAGCAGTCCTGCTGCTCGACCTTTGCCTGACCTACCAGGTCAAAGGTTATCTTCGTCCGACTCACCTATGCCTCCAGTACAAAGGCCTGCAGAGCGTACTCGGTTACGACGAGACAGTTTTCTACAGGGAATTGACAGCAGTCAGATTCCTCCTCCATCTGTCAGTGGTGACACGCTTCAGTCACGTCAGTCCGGTCGGCTTTCACGCCCCATCGACCTACCTCAGGATAGCGTACAGAACGTGGAGCGGTGGCTTGCAGGTAAGCCCACGCATCGCCGTTGTCTATGTTTACAGATAGATGAAACCACACAGTGCCCCAACTTTAGAGAGATATACAAATACCTTAAAACCTGTTTAACATAAACTTTATGGAACTATAACAACAGTCTGTGTTATCCGGTTGTTGTAGCTATTAAACAAAGTTAATTTAATGTACTGGAATGATGTTGTCACTTTTTAACCTAACTGTACAAGTTATGAGTTAACATACATTGCACTTTGTTACAGATCAGAGTAAGTGATCTTTTTTTCGGGTATATTTTCAATACGAAAATAAATATTTTTTCTATAAAAAATAATTCATCAATTTTAACCAGATTAATGTTTAACTTTGGAAGAAAATTGAAAGGCATTGGTGAAAGGGTCTGTCTAGAGTTTGGAGGGTGCTGTTTTAAGCATTTGGTGAAGGGTATACCCAAGCCCGGGTGGTAAATAGTTGTGTCTTTGCGGATGAAGACTTAAAAAAGGAGGGAGGAATATAGAGTAACTGGACTGGACTGGAAACCAATGGGAGGGTTAAGTTATGATTGCTATATCCTCCCTAATAGTAAAGCCACGTCAAATATTACATGGAAGTACAGTATGTATTAAAAAACCCAGACATACACTGAAAGTAGACTTAATCGACAACAAAATGTAAGCCCTGATCCTGTATAATACATCATGCCATTAAATCCCAAAGAACCTGGTTTCTCTGCTATTAACCCTGGACTCCACACTGCAGCTGTCTTATCCAACCATGTACTGTATTTAATTTGGCAATAAACCTGTACCTGGTAATTATAATAAGCCCATCCCTGTCAAATTTACTTTAGTAGAAAGGCTAACATAACATATGTTATTTTGTTGTCCTGAAATAAACCTACCTCCTATTTTGGCTATAAGAAGTTTAGGACATTTGTAAGGCTTAATGCTACAGGATAGGTATGGCATTTTGATCCCCAAGTCAGGCTCCGATGGGGAAATATCAAGTCACAAAACAAACTCTTCTGTGTTAAATACATACTGTTTTCATGTTAGAACACGAATTGTAGATACAGTATGTAAATTTGTAATGATGTCTTGATAGGTACAACCACAGCAGCTGATCCAGCGGATGTTCACCATCACATGTTGCCCTCCCCGTCTCCCCCGGGCAGTTACCACAGTGAAGAGGAGATGCCCCCATACAGGTACGTAAACCTAAATTACTAATTTAACTTTTGTAAACCTTACTTGTACAAGTCTACAAATCCTTATTTGGAAATATGTGTCAAATCTCCAAATAACAGAAAATTTCTATAATTTAAAAAATAAAATAAATTACATTCATAAATATCAACGTTTGTAATAACTGAAATTCCATTTTTTCATTAAATCAGATATCTGAATTTATAACTTATAAACACCACTCCAAATAACTGAAATTTTCTATCTGATTTGAATAGAACTTTATATTTGGAACCTATGAACCTACGAACCAATTCGTCACCTTTTGAAATAACTGAAGTTCTCTTTTTTTCATTTAATCTGAACTTTGAATCCCTAACTTATAATCAACACTCCAGTTAACTGAAAATCTCTATTTTTAGGTCACCTGAGCTTTAGCTCAAGTGACCTATTGCTATCCGTTTTCGTCCGTCGTCGTCCGTCGTCCGTCGTCCATCGTCCGTCGTCCGTCGTCCGTCGTCCGTTACATTTCAAACTTAAAGTGAAGTTCTGCTGGGCCGATTGAACTGAAAGTTAGTAGGAATGATCGCCTCATGGTCCTGACAAAGTGTTGTTATTTTTCGGGTCGATCAGAAATCCAATATGGCCGCCACGGCCGCCATTTTGAAAA